GAAACATATCTTCCTTTAAACATTAATATATTAAAGCGGCGGAAAAGAAACATGTCATATGTTTAAAGAATTATTTATCCATCTATCATACATTAATAACCTTAACTATATCTTTAAAAAAGTTAAAACAAATAGTTTCTGACAAACATGTGGCATACGGAAAAAAAAAAGAAAGATGACCATACAGATAGCCAGATATTATGCCCTATCAACTGTTTATTTATTCTACTTAAAATTTGCCTCATTTCTAATTTTCACCAAAAATTCTCGGATTTTCCTCTGTGTTATTACCCTTAAAATTCTTAATGGGACCTGATTATCAAAGATATCTTTTGCAATTACTGTCAATCTTCCAGAGATATCAATCGGATAGTTTGAACGAAATGGGCATACCAAACGTCACATTTGTCCAAAGTGATCTCTAAGATAGGGTTGTTTAATTTAGCCAATACATACTTTCTTTTCTAATTTTGACAATTCAAGTAGATAAATGATATTAATTGAATTCTGGAGGTTAAATTTAGATCATATGTACATGTATTCCTTATAGTGAAAGCAAACGTTGAAATGTATAAATAGTATCAAATATTTTTACTATAATTAATTTATTATACAAAATTTATGTAAAACTACATCACTGACCATTTCAAATTGACCAGTGTTTATGCATCTTCTTAGCCAAATTTATTACCTTGTCAATACATTTAAAATATGTTTAAGATTTTACAGTACAATCATGTATTTGTTCTATGGTTTGCCTATGTCTAGAAAGGCAAGAGTGGCAAATTTTATAGTTACATGGGGGAAGAGTTAGTGGAAGATATTTGAGCTTTCGTAGTACCTTTTTATTTTACCATAAACAGGTTTCAATTTCTGGAAAAGAATTTAGTACCTAGTAAATCACATTTAATAAGTTTTGTGTTAGTGTGCCTATAGCCTACTTTTTTAAAAATTTCCCTTCAAACGAAGCAAAACAAGGTCATTGCATATATAGTCTTGCTTTGCTCCAAGTGGTTACTTGTGTTTCCCTTCTTTTATACAAAATTTATTTAATAGTCGTGTATTTACATGTAATAGAATTACCAATACATTGTTCGCTGACATACTAAGCAAAATAGTTCTGGAATTCTCTTTTGATTTCCGAGGATTCGAATTTGGCATTTTGCATTTTCATTGCGAGAAACAAGTAGGAGGCTCTTCATTTGCATTATGCATGTTACTTGTTCATAATCTTTAGAAACGAATTGTCCTTCACATTGCCATACAATTTTAACCTTGTGTTTGATCTTATATATGATCTCTTAACTTATATAAATAACAGTATATGCATAAAAGGGTTATAACATTCACTAGGCAAATGTTAAGTCAACAAACAAAGCAAAACAAATATGCATACAAAAAAAAAGAAACTTCCATTGCATAATGTTCCTTTTGTTAACATAAAAAAAAATTCCGCATAGAAAGGTCTTTAATACTTACCATTTGTAATATTTCCTAAAAATGATTAAAACAACATTCCGTTATATACTGTTATGCGATAAAGTATACTATCGTAGGTCATTCCAGCATTTATTTCTTGTTTTTTCGACTGCATCTTTCAGCAACACACTATATAAAAATGCATCGTGCGTTATCTGACATGCATTCAAAGTATGCTTTACAGAATTCTGAAATCAGCCTCTCCACAGCAATGTGCCTTTCCAATTAATCTGTCATTTTTATGCTCCCCGTGCTTGAATTCTTGCAACTTTTTAAACGTCACAGATATTATGTAAACAGAGGCGGATCCAAGACGTCTTAGAAGGAGGAGGGGTAAGGAAAGGGGTGGGGCAGTGGGTGCAGAGAAAATTATTTGAGGGCCCAGTCCCATTGAAAGAGTTCATAAAATCATCATTTGTCAGTATAATCAGTACACTGTACAACACCTAAAGCAATGGTTGATATCTAAAAAGCAATAATACATAAATATTTAAGTTATACAAGGGTCATGCAAAAGGTTTATGGACTTTCCTCATAACACTTTTATTTAACGTCATATTATAACCAAGGAAGATTGGCGGACAAGGCGAACGAAATACCTATTGTGCGACGAACACGAAGGTTAAAAATCACATCTCAATTATGACAAAATTTTCTCTGATATTTCATCTAAAATTAAAGTATACTTAATGTAAACTCTCAACAATTTGCAAAAATCACTCAAAGAATTATATTATTTGTCTATAAAATAGCATACGCATACTAAAAGAGGGCAAAAAGGATCATTTTCTCATACTATACCACAAGTTTTTCAATATAAGTGGGTCTTTGCTCTATCAAACTTCAAAGTTTGCTTTAAAAAATAGATATTTTGGTTAACAAAAACATGGAGCAAAGACCCACAATACCTTACAAATAAAGTTTGATAACATAACATTCGCATCTTTCAAAGAAATACTCCATTTATTCAAGGGTTATACATTGATTTGGATGTCAACATTAATCAGGAGCTGTGTAATGGTGAGCGTATTAGTCTCAAAGGAAAATGATACTCATGATTTCTATCGCTAGGGTTCGAACCCCACGAATGCCATAATATTTTTTTTAATAAAAGAATATTTTTTTCCTGGAAAATTTTCCTCAGAAAAGTTTTTTTTTATCATAATTTCATAATATTCAATAATGAGAATTTTATTCAAAATAATAATTCACAAGAAAATTATGATTTTTATATATCTCAAACCATAGGCATTCTGCGGGAATTGCTCATACATCTCCTTGAGTAGACATACTTTAACAATAAATCCAAGTATTTTGAATTAAAAAAAATCAAATATATCATTATAAACATCCAAATTATTTAAAATTCAAAACTGCCATATTAGGGTTACGGAGCACGGTCTAAATTGAGTAATTTTCAGACAATACACTTAATTATGTATATCTCTTTTTTTAAATGGCCAACTTTATGAAACTGAACCATGAACCTAGTTGGTTACCAAGATTTTCACAATTTTGGTAGAGGGTTAAGTGTGGTAATTGTCATGTCCACACTTTGCCTATTAAATGCCCATGAGAGAAGAAAAAAAAAAGAATCTTTATAAAAATCATTGCATTCAGTAAATGACAAACAATGTCTAAGCAATTCTTTTCAATTGTTTCTGTGAAGTCAGAAACTATTTAATTTTTTTAACAAAGAGGGTATCATGGACAAAGTTCGTACAATTTTTAGAATAGAATTTCATAAGCAAAAGCTCGCCCAGAACAATATATACAGGGTTCTTCACTAATGAAAATATAACCATGGAGAAAGTTGCGCTAAAACTAAATGCGTGTTCAAGGTTTCTGACCTCACTTACCCAATTGTTGATTTCACAAATATTAAATTCACATATTCCATTGGTAATATAATTTTATACTTTATATCTAAAGAATGAGCTAATGCAGACCTGCACCCAAAAGATTTTTTATTCAAAAAATAACATCAAATACAATAAAATACATATATCAAAAACAATTTTTGGGGGTATATAGTTTTTTTTCCCTGTCCATCTATCTGTTTGTTTGTTTGTCTGTATGTCCGCAAAATCTTTAACCTTGCCAATAACTTAAGATTTCTTGGGCTATGGCTTGCATATTTCACATGTGTATTCCTTAATTGTGAAAAGACCTTCCTTTAGGTACCAACATATTTGACCTCTGCACTTGACCTTGGAGTATGACGCACTCCCGCAAAAACTTACCCAAATTGGCTATAACTTTTGAATAGTTGGTACTAGGGCTTTCGCATGCGTATTCATTGTGACAAGACCTTTAGCTTTCTATGGGTGTAAATATCTTTGACCTTTTGACCCTGACCTTAGAGTTCGACCAAATTATAAAAACCTTTAACCTTGATCACAACTTTTGAACAGTTATCATCAGGACTTTCAAATTCCACAGGTATATTTGATGTGCCAAGACCGTCCTTTGGATACCAACAATTTGGACTTTTTGACATTGACCTTAAAGTTTGATCTACTTTTAAAAAACTTTAACCTTCGCCATAACTTTTGAACAGTCAGTTGGTGCTAAGTTTTTTTTTGGTATGAGTATTTCTAATGACAGGGTCTTCCCCTGCGTACCATTAATTTTGACCCTTTGACCTTGACCTTGGCGTTTGACCCACTTTTAGAAAACTTTAACCTTGACCATAACTTTTGAATTGTTGGTGCTTGGGCTATCATATTTACAGGTATATCCATAGAATCAAGTCCCCTTTTTGGGAAACAACATTTTTGATCACTTGACTTCGCATTTGAGAAACTTTAACTTTCGCCATAAACTGCTATACGGGGGCATCAGTGTTTCATAAACACATCTTGTTTCTCTTAAAATTATTAAAATTTTGTTTTTGCGCCATCTTTTTGATGTCATATCTAACATGTGATGTCATGCTTAATGACAGGTGATGCTTTCAAGCCTGCAAATACCCCTTACAGCTGTAGTTCAGAACTTTATTAGAGGTTTCTCTGTCAAAGTTTAATGTTTGAGGAATATATTTATCGTTACAGATTATAGTCCTTTGAAATAGTTGTGTAACAGGAGAAGTGAAAATGCGACAGACTAAACCAGGATTCGAACCCGGGCCCCCTGAATCTCTAGTCAGGTGCTCTATCAACTGAACCACCAGCGATTGAACCTGTCTAACCGCCACATTCCTACCTCCTTAAAGATATTCGGTCCCCGAGGATACCAAAACAGGCTCTTCCCTGCCAGGTCATTCACCTGTCACTTCAAGGGCATCTCATGGCACCAAGTGTAACAGGAGAGGAGATAAATGCGAGGGACCAGACCGAGATTCGAACCCGGTCTGGTCCGTCGCATTTTTCTCCTCTCCTGTTACACTTGTTTTAACTTTTTTTGGTATTTTGGAAGAGCTAAGACTTTTGACAGACAGTGAATACAAAGTATAGAAAAGAATACAAATACATAAATCCCTTTAAATAATGATCAACTTTGCATTGATGATTTTATTTATTTAATAAACACTTTACAAAATAAAACAAAATATGCATACAAGTTTAGAGACAAAGTTTTACCTATATTCTTAAAATTTTATATTATGGGGCGATAATCTGAAATGGGCCCATGCAGTGATAGTTTTTGCTGGCTATAAAAGTTTTTATTGCAGTTATAAATGTCACTATATTCGTTTAATTCAATCTTCTTTTTTCAAAATAATTGCACTATTTGAGGAAGTTTTTGTGCATCATAAATGAAAAAAATGTAAAAAACAGATTTTATGCAAAATTTATAATAATTATTAGATTTAAGCTATTTTCTACAGCAATTTTCATAGAAAATTAATGTAGCCTCAAACATTGCTTTTCCGTCTTCCGATTTTGTTAGATTTTTATATAACATTTTTTGTGCATTACAGATTTTATAGATTTAAAAATAAATCTGTTGCAATTACTTTTATGTTTAATGATAAAATAAACTGAAATGGTACAATTCTCGATTATTGTCAGTATATGGGGTTTCTGATTCCTTGTCCCCGGGGAAATAAATAATTTCCATTTCTGTACTGGTCTAGATGTTCATTATAATTAAGCATTTTGCCTTTTTTCTTTCCTAGTATTTAAAAAAATATACTTTTAAAAATTATAATCAATTTAGCCCTGACCTGGGGCGTTAACCATGGTGACCTTACATTTCACAAGCATTTTGCTTAGTACATATAACAATTCTTATGCACGATTTCTATGAGTATATACAATTAATGTTCCAACAAGGAGTCCTTTTGAAAAGAGATTTTTTCAGGATTAATGAAGAATATTCAATATATTACCAGATAAGCCCTAGTCCTCGGTATGAACCATAGGTACATGTAAGTTTCACAATTCTGGAGAATTCTCGAGAAATCAAATAGGGAGATAACGAAAAATAATCAAGCTCAAAAGCTGAAAGGCAAAATGGATTTCATTGCATTTGTCAGTCATGATTTTTAATATAAATTCATGCAATTCTTCTAACTTCAAATAAATCCCTTTGTCAAATCTCTGGAATATATATATATAAACGCCCATGTCTCTGAATGGTTATTGCACATCATTTATCATACAGTAGACATTGGTATCGCCATGGTCACACCCTTCTTTGGAGATAGTCTTCTCTGGAAACTTCAAGCATGTGTATCCATTACCCAATGAGTCATTCTTCTCTAGTTTCTTTGGTTTTACGTAGTTATTTTCATTCCTGTAAAAGAAAAAAAAAATGAAAATTGAAAACTTTACAATGCACAACAAGTATGAAAATTTATTGTAAAATGATTAAATATAGCACATTTTTTTTTTTTTTTTTTTTTTTTTTTTTTAGTTTAGGTATGTCCATTTCTCTGTGTAAAACTCATTATCCTCCCTGAACCAATGTAATTTCTTTATCATTACCTGTCCACATCATTTTCCCTCTGAGCACTACAACTAATTATTGTTATAATGAAGGAAAACTATGCTATGAAATATTCAGAATTATACCATTTGTGTGCTTACATTTTCAAATTTAATTTTTAAATATTATTAGCATGTTAGCTTAAATACAATTATTGTCAGCTTAATTTGCAATGAGTTTAATTTCAAACATGACTTTCCTCTCCAAATGGAATACGGTACAAATATGGTTTTGTATCTATATATCTCGATAACTAAATCTTTCAAAAATTGTGATTCAATAATTAAATACTAGTAGATCATAGCGTTTGGACCAAAAGCAGGAAAAGGAACTGAATTTAAAGGGGAGAAAACGGGCAGATATATCTTAACCACATATTAAACAATTATGGGCATATTATGTTTATTAATATTTAATTAATTATCTTTCTACTTACATGTAATATGTTTCATACAAACCTTTTCAAGAAAGTAACAATTATAAGCGTTGATGCAATTATCATTAGTGGTATCATTACAACTGCAGTGACAATAACAGGAATATTAGATTGGCTGCCTGAAATTAATAAAGATTTCTGTGCATGAAGATTGAAATAAGATATATTCCAAAAAACGATTTGAGACTTTCGGATGGAGCTAGAACTGATGACTATACTATATTGAAATGGAAAGTTATTCACCAGCATTTATTACGGACCCTGAAACGTTCTACTTTGAATTCGCAGATACATGCTGCACATAAGCTACAAACACGCTACACGGCTCATAGAAAAACCAAAGGCCTATTAAAGCTACACGATTTTTTGGGTTGAAGCATGATTCAGGGCTTATAATATTTGGTATATATACTCACTGTGCAATAAAGAAGACTCAACTGAGTTATCCTTTCCGTCAGTGCATGGAACATTGTTTTCTAAAAGGCAGTGGCAAGATTTTAATGTGTGGATTCATGTGAAAACATGTAAACAAACAAGAAGTCATACTTTCTATTAAAAAATAAATTATTAAATGTAATCTATTTTAATACCCAAGCAATATCGTTCTTCGCATTTTTTCAAAGGTTTCAGGCAATACGCCATATAACGTCCACAGTTCCTCACATATATGTGGCTTCTTTCGTGGCAGCAAGATTTTGTGTTTCCTAATCCGAATCCAGAAACACAGATATCTCTTTTCACAATACCTTCATTTTCAGTAGGATGTATACCTTAAAGTGGACGCAGAACATAATTTGTCACTGTCAAGAGCAGTATAAGCATGGACATTATAAAAACTGTTTATGTTTTAATTTCATATCGAAGATATATTTTTTTTAAAAAGTGTTAAAGTTCTTTATAGATACACATGATGATTATCGAAGATAAGTTTAAATGAAGACCTTTAAACCATGCTTATAGACACCCAGTATAAAACACATATTCAATTAATTTTCATAGACATTTGCTCCTAAAATATATGTTTTAAGAGATTTCATCCTTACAGTGTGCGCCAGGCACTGATTTGGTTTCCACTACCATGTCATAATCTCTATGCTTTATAAAATTATTCACGTACTAAACGGGCTTAAAGGTGTGAAAGCATCGATGACGCAAGAGAGAACTAAAACAATTTTCATACATTTTAACTTTGACAGTGATAGATTTTAAGAAAAAGCATAATTTGTACCGTCCATCCAAACAGGGCGTATAGCGGCACAAGAAAGAACATCTGGACATCTGTTTAGGAGCTTCGGTTCTGCTGCTTCTGCCTTATACCACCCCGGAAACAAGTCTCGGTCACAAGATTGCAAAAAATGTGTGTATTTGCAATTTTCACCCCTTCCTTTTACATATGGAATTCTGGGAAGGTTTCTCGACGTACACGGATCTATTGAAAAATGAAATTGTTTTCATTTGTTCGAGAAATTATAATTACCTAAGTTATGAGATGACCCAATTCCATTTAAATTCACGTAGTTAAAGTTATCAATGTATAAATTAAAAAGGGGAATTTTTTCATATAGTATACATGTAAGAATAAAGACGCATCATTTTGTGAATAAACTTTTAAAGATAAAGAAAGGAGCTGTTCTTGATGTACAAGTACATGTACTTCTTGGCTCAGCTCTAAGCACATGACTTTTCCTTGTTCTACATTTAACAATACTTTATTGTGGCGAAAGGAAGAAAGGAAAACGAAAAATATCAAGTGTAATTCCTCATTACTTACCAGTTTTACAAATTTCAGCTAAGAGTTGATTTTGAGAGTATACTCCGGATGATGGTTCTTTAGTTTTTCCAGATACACCCCCTCTTATTTTTTCTGTTTGTTTGGTTACCATTGGGGGTGTGGTATCCTGGGGAGAGCTAGGGATCTGCTCACAAGTAACATCTCTTTCACCTTGATAATCAAAAAGATACATGTATTTCCTTGAAGAAAACAACACTTTTCTCCGATGTATCTAATACTATTAACGGAAACCCATATTAACGAATGCTTTACCAATACATGTATGTTCCGTACAATTTAGAGATACTATGTGTTCTTTAGGAGAAAGTATTGATACTTCTGATAAACAGAAAAATAAACACAATTTTGAGAAGTGAAGTTCCTGCTTCACTGAGATAAAAGAATTAAACTTTAAACTATGGTTCAAAATGTGTCAGGGATTAAATGAAGGGAAAGTCTTAAATGATTACCAAAGCAATATCTTTCGGAACAAGCACCCAATGAAGGAAGACAGTACGCATTGAATGATCCACACTGCTTTATTATGATAGTAACTCGTCTGGCACATGTATTTTTGAAACCAATTTTACAAACGGTTCTTTCTACCTCTTCGTTCTTCTTAGTCGGAAGAGTTCCTAAGAATTATAATAATGGATGCCACAAATAGTAAACAGTTACATATTTCTTTTCATTGAAAATTTATTCTATACACAGACATTCAGATGGCTTTAATCCGACTTACAAAAAAATTCGGGTGTTAAAAAAATAAAGATATGGAACTCCTTACATAGGGTACCCACTTTCGCCAACAAAATACTTTTAAATCAAATGATCTAAAACTTTACTTTCTATTCATATCTATTCACATATAAACAATCTACGTTACTACTAAAGTTCATTCCGAAATTCCATACACTTCCCGATATATTCTGAAATCAATTCCAAAATTGACCTTATTTTTTTTACTGGACATTAGCTTGGGACTCTGAATACTTACATTAATTGTAAAGTGGGAACTGACGAGACAAATTTTTCCCGGAATTGATTCTTTACTCTCTGAATATTTGTTTATTAGCACTCAGTCTTTACAAAATTTTATCTGATTTGATAATATGATTTTACTAAGTTACAACCAGCATATTAGCAGTCTAATTTTTAAAAAAAAAAATGAAAAATAATAATATACATTTCGGGAAAATTTCGTTCAATCATAGTTCTTTTTACATTAATAAATAACATGGATGTGCAGTTGTTGAAGCAGACGTTTTCTAAATTATTATTTGCGAAAGGAATTATTACTGACTTAACCTTAAGATCTGGAGTAAAAAATCAACTTTAAAATGTTGAAAGATTGTGCAAACAATATGCAGCTGTTTGCTGCAGTTCAAACACCGTCTGTATACATGTGAATAACCAGGGGCCCAATCTAATGATGAGTAAAAAACATTAGATCAATTTTGGAATTGATTTCAGCATATCTCGGGAAGTATACTGAATTTCGGAATGAACTTTGGTAGTAATGTAAATTGTTTTTATATGAATAGATATGAATAAAAAGTAAAATTTTAGAGCATTCGATTTAAAAGTATTTATTACCGGTAGTGAAAGTGGGTACCTTATGTAAGGAGTTCCATACCTTTATCTCTCTTATACACCCCGACTTTTTTAAAGTCATATTTAAACGATCCAAAGGCCTGTGATTCTATATTAATAATTGGTTATTCTTTTAGCACAAAACTTGATACAATGCAATTAGAAATATTAATATGATTTGGTTTTTTTTCTGACCGAAAAAACCAAACAGACAAAGAAAAAAAGATTGAACAAGTGCTTCGATTTTACAGTAATTCAAATTTATTTATCAATTGAAAATCAAACAAATATTTTCTTTCTTGCATTTTTTTTTTTTTGGTTACCGTTTAACCATGAGGGGTATACGGCTCCACATTCCATTAAACTTGGAGGATAATTCAGCATGTCTTCTTTAAATCTGTACCACCCTGGGGTTATGAAGCGATCGCAGTATGGACTGTTATTGTAGGGACAGTTTTTGGCTCTTATTTGTGGCTGGTAAGGTGCTGTCGTGTTTGCGACTTGACAGGGATCTATATAAGAAACAGCCGTGTAATTAACAACATGTACATGTTCCAAATGAATAAAGAACTAATATGATAAGTGCCTCAAAAGAATCTTAAAATAAATATCTTAATTTTACTTAATATACATGTATAGGTTTACTTTGCACAGCTATATACATGACGGTTATTCGTAATTTTCAATTTGATCAAAATGCCATTGGTTTAGAAATATGACATCGTGAAGATCACAATTCCCCCCGTCAATTTAGCATGTTTTGTCTTAAATTGTTCATTTTCAAGCATTTTTTCTTCTAGAAAATATTGAGCGCAGACTTGGACAGACTTTATATTTTCACAAAAGATGTATCTATTCAAGCCTAAATACGGATAGAAAAATTTTGCATGTTCAAAGCTGAATGTTTCCCATAGGGAAATTACAAGAAAAAGGCGCATTTGTGCCTTATTTTGATTGGATTACAAAAATATTCTCATTTCCAACGCCATTTACAGCCAGTGAGTGCATAAAATAAGACAAACATATTGACATTATCGCCAATAACAACTTCTCTTCATAAAAAAAAAAATCAATTTAACAAACCTGAATACGCATTTAGAAATGTTGATTTCTGGGGAGGGGGAGGGGATTCACTCATCATATAGTCCTTTATTTTAAAGTTACCATATGTAGGAATTGTTAAGTAAATTATGTGAATGTGTTCATCCAAGCAACAACAGGAACGACAGATTAAATTTGAAAGAGAAGAGGCCTACAAAATAAGTGCTGAATGCAGAAAGAACTCTTTTCAAATATCTCTTTATAGCGAGCGCAGCGAGCAGCGCGAAGCGAGCTCAATAGACTAACGTGTAAGAACAGAGGAAATTCGGAATGAAATCTGTACATACGTCAGGCAAATTTTCTTGGGCAACATTCCCAGAATTCCTTTGCTATCAGGGTTCCATGCGAAATTATTACAAAACGTACAAAAGACCAAGGATAATTGTTCCTTACCAAGAGATACGTTTACTTTTATTTCTTTGCAGAGAGCTTATGAGAAACAAAAAATAGTTGCATCTACTCTACAACGTATTTCATTTAATTTTTTCACAAGAACTGTTGAACCAGACGTTCGGCTGTCTCCGTAAATTCCGTCGTCATCTGACGTCACAGTCTAGACTGTGTCTCGTGCGATTTGGAGCTAACGTTACAAGTGTAAGCTGTGTATATTATAGGTTTTTGATGGTACAACTGCGCTCGCCCTAACGGTCACACCGTAAAACATATTATTCTCCTTCACAGGTTTATTCATACTTGGATCAATCATAATCTAGACAATAGGTATTAAAATAACTTCGCCTTTTACTTACCATCCGTTTTACAAAACCACATCCTACCTGCGTCTGAAAAAAATGTCAACTTCTGAAAATCCTTTAGGAAGCATATTATAAACTCGTTTATTCATAATTCATCTACATTTTGTCATTTAAAACTACATATTTACTGTATATGATGAATAATTGGTGTTTATTTACATATACATTTTCAGGAAATGCCTACATTGTGCATATTGTCTTCAACATTTTACGTAAGTAGAGAAAATGACTCATTTATTATGTATCAGAGCAGATGGGTAAAAGATTTAGATTTACGTATTATTTTTCACAAAATCTTTTAGATTAATACTGTCATTATGGCTACATTTAGCTTGTTGTATACTTTTCAGGCATGGACGACAGACAGAAGCCAGGCAGCTTCATGAGATCTATCTGAGATTCTTATATCACTGTCATAGCAGACGTATTCTTTTAAATACTCCAGTTCACACTCGTAAATCACTTTTTGCCTACTTATCCAAACTAGATATATTATTATATAAAATATAAACAAAACACTAATGTACTTATACACTACATGTGAAAATCTTATGATGTACTTCGTTTTGTCTGATATTTATGAAACATTACACCATAATTACATGTAAAAGTAGCTCAACATAAATTTAATTTGTTTGATAACTTTATTTTGGCGTTTTTGAGTTCCTGTTGTTTTCTAAGTTTGATAATCATATATATTACTATTTCAAGTACTGATATTTACATATTTATATTAAATATGAAATGGAAAATATGAAAATTTACCTGTCACACGGACAGACACTATGCTAAACAGCGTAATAATCTTTGTTGTCAATAATTGAGACCCCATCCTCAATATGAAAACAAGCAATAAAATATAATCTTTATGGCTTTGACAGTGAATATGGAATCTTTATCTATTGAATATATAGAATCATTTTATTAATATAAATTTCTCAGCAAACTAGAAAAAAATCTTAAATATCTCAAAAACTTTATTACCTTTGTTAGAAAAATAGACGTCAAAATCCTGGCGTGACCGCCATCTTACTCTGTTTCTTCCTTTCAGGAAGGAAAACGTATGGTGGCGAGATGTTCTAAAATTAGGGCAATTCATCGTAAACAAATCGCCCAATGTTTGCTCTAATTTTGTGTTTAAGAAACTTGTTTCGGTTGGGTTAGAGTTTAATATTATTTAGGAAGTTACAAACGAAAGAAATACAACTTGCACAAATTTATTAATAAATTGAAATAACTAAATCAGATAATACATGATGCATTATATAGTTATTGACGTATTCAACTGATAGGCAATTGCGTAAGTCTTCCTTTCTTTAAATTATGATGCGGAGTTTCGAGTTTTCACATTTCATTCGGTACATGAATTGACATGTAGATCAAAACACTTTCTCTCTTTTTTATTGAATATTTTTAAGCTCTTTCATTGCGATTTAGACCTACTTTAATGGAATTAAAAAAGTTATTTTTGTCCATTGAAGCACTCGTTTGAGATGCCATATGTTTGTAAAGTTCATATAGCATCCAAAGGAAATAAAAAAAAAAAAACAAAAAAACAAAAAACAAAAAAAAAAAAAAAAAAAAAAACAAACAAACAAACAAACATAAATAAATAAATAAATAATGATAATAATGATGCATTTAAATAAGATGAATACACGTAAAATACTAGGACTATTATAGTTAGAAGCTAATTTATTGTTTACTGAGTTAGAAAATAAAGATATAAAAATCAATATTGACGATCACGTTACGAAAATATGCACCACTTATGATAACATAATGGTGGTACATATATGAATGATATAATATATTTTGATTAAATATCATTTTCCCCCTTTTAATCACTGCTGATGCATATCCTCTGTTCATTGCTAGCTTATTAAGGGCAAACAATGAATCAATGCTCAGTTGATTAAGGCAACTAAAAAAAAGCTGTGATTATTAAAGGGTTACAACTGCTTCCAATTCTAATTTAACGAGCAAGGTCATCTTCACTCAACTGCTTATTCTGTATCTTCTAACCGCTATTATTTAAGTATGTGGAACATTGTTATTTTGTATCTAAATGTATCTGTGTTTCAATGAAATTACTTTTAAGCATTGTATATTCAGATAATCAGAATGGATTGGGTAAAAGGCAATGGCTATAAATACCCTCTACATAAATCAATGACATTACGCATCTATGTCATATGAAATACACTGGATCATGAAATGCGTGCACGTGATCTCAGCCACAACAAATTTAATTTAAATTCTAGATTTTTTGATTGATGATTTTTTTTTTTTTTTACATATTTCCATAAAAAATATTTTTTAAACATTTTGTTTCCTTTTCTACTATCCGATATATTATTGTATGAGCAAATCAAATTGATATTGTAGTTGTGATATATCTGATATTACAGTGATACTGCCGAGTTTAAATTGAACTAAATTAAGGTGAGGAATTTACAGAATTTACAGATGGCAAATATCAATCTGAAGAAATGGGGTTAAGCGCAATTGGTATTTGCTGTTATCTACAAAGTTTCTTTCAATTCGGCGTGTTGATATATATTTTTTTAAATGTCGAAGAACATGACATTGTCTTTTTATGATATTGTTCGTTTGAGTAGACGCAGTTATGATTGCAGTTCGTTTTACACACTGGCACAGATCAAACCTCTAGAATATGAAAACTCGTAAAAAAGTGTGTGTGTGTATATATATATATATATATATATATATATATATATATATATATATATATATATATATATATATATATATATATATATATATATATATATATATATATATATATATCTATCTATCTATCTATCTATCTATCTATATATATATATATATATATATATATATATATATATATATATATATATATATATATATACATGTTTATATATTTATATATAGTGGTATTGTAGTAAAAGTCCATGGTATAGGTAGGTTATAAATTAAAATTAAACCACCAAATTGGAACCAAAATTTAAGCAGTTCAAGTGTTTTCTTTATACTTTGAGAAAAATAATTATCATTTACTATTCTTTTATTTTGTTTTTGCATATATTTCTTTGCAGAGAAATATATTCATACAGACAATCTCCTGCAGAAATATAAATTATGTAAGTTTTAGACTTATATGTTAAGACCGGATATCTCTTATATAAGTCTAAGAGATAATTTATATGTAAATTTATTGCCTAAAAGAAATTGAGCTTTGTTTATGATATATTTTGCCTAACCCCCTTACACCTATACTACTATCAAAAGCACGATATTAAGAATTCCTAATAAATTTATCATCAAGTCTTTTTATTTTAATTACTTTATATTAATTATCTTTAAATTATCATTACAGATATCTGTTTAGAAGAGCCAAGAGATTGAACTTTTTCTATCAAAATAGTTTACTTCCTAAAATAATTATATTATTTCTTCCCGTAATGAAGAGATGTAACTCTTATTAACATTTTAACCATATACCACAGCTTTCAGTCACTGACGTTAAAAAATGTTAATTCATATCACCTCTTTGTCTTGTCTAGTTCAGGTATTCAACCATAGACACAATGAAAATAAGCACACATACCTGACCTAACTACTTATTCAAATACGATATGTTCAGCTTTCTAAACAATCGATTCCAAGTGCCACAGTTTCGCAAGTGAGTTAAGTGAGTAGGCTATTTTTTGTTCTTTATAGCATTGTGTTGTAATGAAGGAATTACGTCATAATATGATTTTTGAATGTGTACTGGCTTTCACTTTTTGTGGGTATGAAGTATTTTTAAAAAAGTATGTATAAAAAATGAAATTAAACTTTCCCTGTTTGATATTAAATATACCTGTCATGCACTTTATATTAGCTCATTTGCATAGAAACACCTATACCTAGCCTTAACTCACTTGTATTCACATGTACAAGGAAAAGTGAAATAGGCTTGTGCTGATGTTCTTTCTTTGCACTGACTGTGCATCATTGAATATTAAGAATTTCTATTATACATATTTTTAACTACAGAGGAAAGACACAAAATATCTCTAACACGAAAACAATATCAAAGACAAAAAAAGACAACTATGCAAAAATAATTACTCCGCTTAAATTAGCTTAACCAACATGCTTAGATACTACCCCACAATTCAAACATATATGGTTAGCTTTAAAACCATCTTCTTTACAAAAATGTAGCTAGGGTAAGGTTATGATTATGATGCAGTCTCTCATAGAAACACAGCTAATCTGCTTTGGAAAGATTGATGTGGTATATTATTCTTATAAAAAAAAACAATCCATTACAATATTCTATAATTACTCCTCTTCAAAGAAAGAAAGAAAGAAGGAAAAAAGATAGATAGATAGATAGATAGATAGATAGATAGATAGATGGATAGATAGGGTGGACGTGCTGTCCATATAGGAATTTTAGATAGATCGATATCTTTGACGTGCTGTCCATATATGTTTTTTTCCGATAGTTTTCTCTTTCATAATTTATGATGTTATTATTCATTTTATATGTATTTGTCGTATATTTTGTCTGATAGGTAAAATAATATGTACCATTTTGTTCTTTCTTGACACAAATGCCAATTTGTTTTATGTTTTACATGTATATAAAGATTTCGACGTGAACATAGCTATGTTGTTCTTCTTTTCGACAATATATGGATACATATATCACCTAAGGTACCTATAAATGAATTTTATTTCAATACATCTTAAGAATTATGTATAATTTACACCGATGAGAAGACAGAAAAAGGAAAGTACTGTTTTTTTTTTCTATTTTCTTTGAAATGCTTTGAGAGCATTTGATAGCAAGTGACATGTACGATGTCATTCTCCATTGTCCTATTAATATATGTATTTTATTATATACCTGGAGTAACCGTCCATTTTGTGCCTCTAAAATTGCATTTTACATCGATTTTCCTTTTTTAAGACTTTTTGAATACGAGGGTTGTTCGAAAAGTTCGCGGAAAATGTCAATCTACGTTATACATCTGTCAAGAAATTTAAAATAAGCATATTATTATATGTAGAAATATATATTTTGTTGATGTGTGAAGTTTCATTCCATTCGATTTAAAAGAAATCAATTTACTTCATTTTAAAACAAACATGTTTGATAACCCCGGAACACAATTAACAACATTATAACGTCAAAAATATTGCGTCTTGAGGTTCTCAAAATATTCTCCCTATACATTTCCAGAACATAATTTTATTTGTCAATGTTTTTCTATTTTTACCGCATAACTATGCTTTCACAAGATCAACAACCGTGAAGCGCCTTTCTCCTTCCAAGACCTTACTAACTTTACATTTTTTTGTTAGAATTTTACAGATAATCCGTTTCCTCACAGATCGTCCTCTTCTAGATCTGATAAAAAGCCCATATCATTCAATTACAGCCTGGGCCATTTGCACCCCCCCCCCCACCCACCCACCCACACACACATGCGTTTGAGATATTTCATGTTTCCTCCAAAAATTTTAGATTTTATTCTGACGTTTTCCAGAGTAGAACAGAATATCGTTAACTGCTGCTCCGTGACGTTCTAGGACATCATTTTTTTTTTTTTTTTTTTTTTTTTTTTTTTGCCTTTTTTCATTGAGGACTACCTTTCTTCAGAAATTGATTTCTTTTTCATGAAGCAAATTATTAATTTATGATTTGGAATATGAAACGATGTAACGATTCTTAATTTGATCGTCAAGATTTTTTGGTTTTGAGCCATTTTACAGAGGTAATGATTACAGGCATTATTTAGTGTATTTTATTTGTAAATTACTAAATATTGACTTGCTCCGCAAACCAATTTTTGCAGCTTTTAAACTCCTAATAAGTTTGAATTGAATCAAAATATTTTAAATTTTTTAATACAAATCATTTGAATTTACTGGTAACATATTTCTACCAAATTTGGATATTATATGACGTTACATAAAAAAAATATGACAGAAGTCCACGAACCTTCCAAACAACCCTCGAA